GTCCCTGAATTATTCTTGATTTTTCAGTACAATTAAATTAATTTTTGTACAGTTAAAAATATTATTTTTTTTGTATTTAATGCTTAAAATTAATTTTTTAAATAATATTAAAAAATATACTTTTCAAACTTGATTAAATTGTAATTTTTTTTTATAAAATCAAGAATACTTATTAAGTGGCATTTTGCTAGTGGAATTTATTCTTTGAAGTGCTCCCATTTTTTGGAAAATGAAAAATATTCCGAAAATATTTAAAATATCACGTTTTATATAAGTGTATGAGTTGTGTGGGTCTTTTATTAGGTTATGTGATCTATCATAACTTTTTATAATTTTTGTATCTAATCAAATATGATTGGATCGATGCACATTTAAAGCATTCATAAAAGGAAGGCTAGAAAAGCAAAGGCTATAGAACTTGTTGAAAAGCTACATGCTTATTGAAATTAATAAATGGATCTAGAATATGACCTAATTGGACACGTAATATTTAGGATATGTTTGGTGATAATGAGAATATAAAAATTCTTATATCACTTCTCATTTGTTGGGATTGTGTTGTAGTAGATATTAAAGTGGGTTTGAGAATCTATTTAATAAAACTTAAATAGATTGTCCATTATGGTTTGTGAAATATTGATTGTCTACTATGGTTAGCAACAACTCAACACCAGTAACAAACTTCACCATTCCTTCACGACAATTTTCTTTTGAATAGATTTATGTGCTAAGTGTAGTAAAATTAGTGCCAGAAGAAGAACTACCAAATTGGAATTTTTTTTTTTTTTTTTTTTTTTTTGCCAACAAGTTCATGTTTGTCGAAGATTTCACGTAATGACGATTGAGGTGAGTAGTTTCAATTCCCTTTTACCATGCCATCATTTGGAAATATTTACAAACTATTGTACATTCTTGGACTCCGTTGACTACACAACCCGTTGAAATCAATTTGAAGTGTTCCCAACACTTTGCAGTTTTTTTAGACTTTCGCTTACCTCTTACATTCAGTATTTTAAGTTTCGGCTCTGCTTCTTCATCAATATCATCCAAATTAATTGGATGACTACACCCATGAACATCGTCAATGTCTAAATCATCAGGAATGGGGATGTCATTTAGACTGAAAAATTCATTATGTAATTGAGATTGTGGCATCATAAGTGTGTTGCCACCGAACAAGCCCCGGACATAAGAATTGTGATCCATTTGTATGAAATAAAATTGGAATGTATAAAGATGAAATCAAATTATAGTAGTATTAGATAACGGAATGTAATGGATGAATTGTAAAATTGAGTTAAAGTGAGAAAATATGAAGAACAAGAAATGTAATAGATGAATTAAATAGGTTGATAATTGAATAATGTAACAACTAATGAGGAATTGAATTGAGATTTGAGAGTGAATAATTAAATTGTGAAATGTAGAAGATAGATGTTGAGAATTGGTGTGGAAAATGGATTGAAATGAGGAGTATTTATAGAGTTTAAAAAAAATTGTGAACTTTGCAAAATGGTTTCAAAACTTTATGAAAGTTTATTACTTTTGGGTGAGCCCACAAGCGGCTCTACTCATCGTTTCAAACGATTGCTAGGCTCAAGCCCTGGCTTGTCACCAAATGAGACCGAGCCATCAGTGGGCCTAGCTGCTCGGGTCATTCACCACCCTTAAAGACTTTTCACGGATTCCTAGATAATTGTTTTTTGACTTCTCCTTCAACAATTGACATGAGGGTGAAAAAAGTTGCATGGAATCCCATCTAAATTTCATTCTTTCCTTCAATTGAGATTTCTTGTGGGAACTAGAAATGAAAAATAAGCATCTTTAGTTGATATATTATCACTTTGTCTTAAGAACATAACGAATTCATTCTATAATTCAAACCTATTATATCACTTGTCTTTTGATTTCATTAATATTTTTTAATAATTGTCTTAATATGGATGGTCATCATGTTCTATAAAAATAAATAATCTTAATATGGATGGTAATCATTTTTCTTTAAAAATGCCAACCCGATGGTAAATTTCTAACTTCAACAAACTTGTCCTTAAAATAAAATGAATTAGTTGTCCATAACTACAATTTCAGCAAACCACGTCTGTGAATACGTTCACTCTCATCAGTCACTGGTTAGTAAACACCTCCACCGTACTAGACTCGTGGCTCCACTACCACCGTCGACTAGAATTAATGTAAAGTATCATGGGCAGGTGAAAAAAGTGTCATGAATTTCTTTCTTCCCTTCAGTTGAGATTTCTCTAGTGAGAAATGGAATCCTAGCATCTTTGGTTGATATATTTTCTGCTTGACCCTTAAGAACAAAACAAAATAATAGGATATGCAATAATAATAACTACATGTCTAATTGTGTATCTCTGATTGACGACTTGAGATTAGCAGTTGAATGTTTTCATTAATAACTTTCAATTTTAATTGTGTATCTCTTGCTCAAAACTGCGTACATGTCTGAAAAATATATTTTTACCGAACAATGTCTCATTTCTAACTCCATGATCTTCTATGTCTTCAATTATTCTTCATCGTAATTCCACCTCTTTTTCTTTAGCTCTTCCATGTCCATGTTGATTACAAGTTTATTGTTTTGGGTAATAAAATAGTGTTTCATTCAAACTTGATATTTTGTGAATTTTTTGTTATAAAAACTTCATGATATTTACTATTTTACATGTAATAGTTGCTTTTTCATGAATATTTGAAAATAATTAAGAAAATAGAAAATAGAATTGATCTTCGATCCACGGTTGAACCATTGACCACACAACCCATTTCCCATGTCCGTGGAGAAAACTATCAATAGAGGTTGGGGGCTTTTCATTTGAAGGGTTCTCAAATTATCTCGGGCTGGAAAATTCATTTATATAGCATTTTTAATTGGTTTTCGATATTAATTATTTTCTTTCTTTAATTTAAATTTCTAAATCTAGTTACATTTAAAGTTAAGGGTGGCAATGGACCCTAGGCATTCACATTATATGGCTGACTCATTTGGGCTTGACCCATGAGCAAATTGAGCTCGTTGAACATTGGTCGTGTGCCAAGTATGGATCCATTTTTGAGAATTAGTCAGCTAGTGAATGCTCAGGAGCTCGTCTTTTTGGGCTAGCTCATGGGTAGGCCTAAAATAGCCGATCTATGATGCTCATGAGCATGCCCATGATTTAACAAGTTGTTAAATTTTTTTGCTACCTTTTTAATTATACGCTACTGTTGCATAGTACGATTGAATTAATCATACAACATATGAATGGCCCATTAAAATTGAAATTTTTGATTTTGTAATTAATTTTAAAAAAAAAATTTACTTCTTTTTAAACTATTTTTCTACTTCAAATGGTTTCAGAAATCATCTAAACAACATTCCAGAATTTTTGGTGATATAATTTGAACTTTTGGAAGCGATCGTCCTCTTCGTCCCTAGTCTCTTGTTTGCTTATTTTGCTTGGTTTGTTCAAGAATGTGATGGCTCAGTTTTGCATTCAAAAAAAAATTCTGAAAATTCGATTTTTTCTTGCGCAGCAATGAACAAATTAAGAAACTTAGTTTTTACCCAGTACAATGCATGTTAAATTTATTTGCAATTAATATACATAACCATATTAGTTTTATAGATATTTAGTTGCAAAAGCCAACCAGTCTAAGGAAAGACGAGTTATTAATAAAGTGAACTTTGGAAGCTGGATAGGTGGATCGAAGTCTTACTCAAAATCAAAATAAAAAATATAAATAACTAACGTTACATTACTAATAAATAAGTGTGTTATAATTGAATATAGTATATGTAGAACAAAGTTGTTCAGATTTAATTTTATGATCACTCAATATATTATAGAGTCTTAATATCCAAACATTTGCTCATGCAAATTTATTCATCATTCATGTCAAGAACGTGTAGAATATATGCAAATGCGATTAGATAGTGTTAATTATCGTCAAATGAAAATACATATTGGAATTTGTGGACCCGTAGAATGTATGGCTAAAAATTATATTTGACTAATTTATATTATAATTTAAACTTTGCCAAATATGAATTTAGGGTGAGAACAAGAAATGAACAGCAAACATCTTGCTTTTGAGGTCCACACCCAGGAGCAACTGAATATGTTTTTAGAAGTTTAGTTAGCAATCAAAGGCATTTTTCAAAGTTTAGTGAACAATTGAAAACATTATTCAAAATTTGGTGAGCAACTGAAGACTTAACAATTTGTTAATAGCGTGACGAGATGTCATATGTATATTTCGTTAGCTACGTAACTAATTCCGTTAAAGAATTAGAATAGAAGTTAAGGTAGTGAGCAATGTCCAACGTAATTTTAATGAGCAATCGAAGACTAGACATACGTTCAATGACCATTGGGAGAAATAACTCCTAAAATCTTAAAAGAGATAAAAATGTAGGAATTAGATTACACGTCCCAGGAGGGGGTATACTATCCTCACTTGACAATTTTGAGTCACTCAAATAATGATGGTCGAATGGTATAAAAAGTATAGTTTATCCTCACCCGATATATATTCTTTTTTTTTTTTTTTAATGAGATTATTGAAACCCGATATTAACAAGGGCTACTAGAGATAAGGTCGTAGGATCAAATTTTAATTTAAATCAAAGTCAAAATTTAATTTTAATCATATATGTGGGATCAATAACTTTTCAATCGTACATTTCATCGATCTTTATAAAAATTTACTGAAATTTTGATTTTAATCATCACCAAACAAAGGCTAAGTGATTTTTCACGAATCCAGCAAAATATAATAAACTTGTAGAAATCCTTGTTGAATAGCAAGAGGGTCGTTTTGCCCGGGATTTAGTAGATTTTTGCCTTTATTTACATCTTCGGATAAGAATTGGGATTTCCAAAGTGGGAATATCATAATCACCTTTTTGAACTTTTGCTGAATTTTCTACATTTGCTTTGTTGACGCAAAAAGCATACGAAATTATAAGACAGAGGGAGAGTATGAACCTTTGCTTTGTGTTTTTTTTTCGAAAAATTGAAACATTCACGCTTATTAATCTCTCTCTCTCTCTCTCTCTCTCTCTGCGCTTCGCTCAAACCAACAATACTTGATGGATTTCTCTTACAAAATAGAAAAGCTGTCATATCTAATCAAAAGCCCAGATCTCCTTTCCCATATGCAAGATTTAAAGCTTGATGGGGGAAAAATTGTTAGCTTTCAGTGGCTCGGGCCACATTTTTTAGCTTTTCTCAAACACGTAGAATACTCGATTTCTGAGTTCAGGAGAATTAAGGATCTGTTGGAGGATCTTGATGAGTCAGCCTTAAATTGCATCATATATGGAGAGAATGAACATTACAATGATTTTTTAGAAATCATTATCTCTTTCATGCCACAGACTAGAGAGTTCTTCACAAGTTCACTCCTGGTGCTTAAACGTGATATATTCTTCCGTTCCCGCAGAATCTTCTTCCTTCTTGACTTTATTGGTTCATTGCTTAATTGTGGAACGGATTCCAATCTTCTTGTGAGTAATCAAGTCAAAGTTCTTCTGAAGGAGCTGAAATTTCTGTTCTTTTTGTATGTAGATATAAAGCGATGCAGGGAGGGAGAACATGAAGAGTTAGGTGAAGTAATTAGTGCAATGGGAAAACAGGTGTACAACATTTTCATAGAATTTGAAGATGTATGTAAAGATGCGGGACTTTTCTTGCATTCATTCTTTTTCACCACAGACCTTGTTACGATGACCAAAATGGATCTGACAATTTCTGCTCTGTTAGAAAGAATTGAGATTGTGAAAGTGAAGTTCAAATATTTCTGCATTAGAGTCTCCATGAAGATGAATTGTGGTATTGGAAGCCTTCAAATTGCAGAAAGTCCCAGTGAAGTATCATCATCCCAAGATAAAAACATTCCCACGGTAGATGAGATGATTGTGGGCTTAGAGGACATGGCAACAGAAGTTACAAGCAAGCTTCTTGGAGGACCGAGCTACCGCCAGATTATTTCCATAGTTGGAATGGGTGGACTTGGCAAGACCACCTTAGCAAAGAAAATATACAATGATTCCAATGTTCGGGAATACTTTGATAATCTTTCTTGGTGTGTTGTTTCTCAAACTTACCAAAAGAGAAAGCTGTTGGTTGACATTTTGAGATCCTTGGGTAACCTAAAGAGCCACGAAGACAAGAAAGATGAAGAGTTGGCCGAACGTATTTACAAATCTTTAATCGGTACAAGATACCTCATTGTTATAGACGATCTATGGGATATCCGTGCATGGGATGATTTGAGAAGGTACTTTCCAGATGACAAGATTAACGGAAGCAGAGTATTGTTCACTAGTCGGTTGAAAAATGTAGCATTAGAAATTTCACATGTTATCATTGAACCTCTTCCCTTGTCACCAAGTGAAAGTTGGAAGTTACTAGAGCAGAACGTGTTCAAGAACGAACTTTACCCTCAGGAACTACAAGACATTGGAAAGAAAATTGCAACATGTTGTCGTGGACTCCCGCTCTCAATCGTCATGATCGCTGGAGTTCTTTCAAATATGGAGAAAAGTGAAAGCTTATGGCAAAAAGTTGCAGAAAGTTTAAGTTCTTACATTTCCCAAAAAGCCGATGAATACATTCCCATATTGAAACTTAGTTACATGCATTTACCAAATCACTTGAAGCCATGTTTCCAGTATCTTAGTGTATACAAGGAAGACGAGGAAATTCGAGTTCGGAAGTTGTTATTACTATGGATTGCTGAAGGATTCATAGAGAAAAAGGAGCACAAGAGCTTAGAAGATGTAGCAGAGGAGTATCTAATGGAACTTATTAACAGGAGTCTGCTACAAGTTTCCCAAAGAAGCTTTGACAATGGAGTAAAAGCATGTAGACTTCATGATCTAGTACTTGATATGTGCAGGAAAATCGTTGAAGAAGAAAAATTTCTGTTTCAACAGTAAGTTAACCTCCTCTCTTTCTAATTCTTTCTCATTTTACTTATTTTTTTTTATTATTTTTTTTTCAAATTTAGCCCACTAATTTGTGGTATCATGTCAATGATGTTGCTGATGCTGATGGCGGTGCTGATGCTGGTTGATGCGTTTGTAAATGATGATGATCCTCCATGTTCTTACTATGCTAATTCTTTAGTCAATTCTTGGTATCTAAGCATTGTCATCGATTGTTTATGGATTGGTCTCATCATCTCTCAGAGGACTTACCCACTTTTTACAATTCGGAAATTAAGATCTTTGATGGACTGTTTAAAGAGGAAAACAGTATTACTATTATGCCTGACTTGAGGTATTTGAATATTTACACATTATATTTTATTTCATATAGCAGTCTCCAGAACCTAGAATTTCTTCGTGCGAGGAAAGTGGTTTCTATTGACGCATACCTTCTCAATATGCCTAAGTTGAGACATTTACATGTTGGATGGTCAGATCACTATCATCATCTCCCGACGAAGTATTATAGCTCAGATACCTCCCGAATAAGTAGCCTACAAACCCTTCGTTATGTTTATATTGACGATTCGGAAAGTGAAGAAATCTTGAGAAGTTTACCAAATCTTCGTGAGCTTAAATGTACATCTCCAAACAATTTTTTTCCAAATCTCAGCTCTCTTACTCAGCTTGAATCACTCACAATGGCTTTTAATAGTAGTTTCGAAGGTGATTACTCACTGATTAACTTCCCCATGAATATAAAAAAGCTTGCTCTTTCTAAATTGGCTTTGCCTTTGGAAAAGATGTCATTAATTGGGACATTGCCCGACCTGGAGATTTTGAAATTAGATGAAGCCTTTGAAGGAGAAATCTGGAACACAAAGGAGGATGAGTTCCAAAAACTCAAATTCCTTCAATTAAAAAGGTTAGATCTTGAACAATGGAATTCCTCAAATGATCACTTCCCTGTGCTCAAAAAACTGTTGTTGTTTGGATGCAAAAAATTGGACATGATTCCTTCTGAATTTAGCAACATTCTAACACTACAGAAGATTGAGGCATATCGTTGTGGCAAAAATGTTGGAAGTTCAGCTTTGCAAATTCGAGAAGTACAACTGGAGTATGGTAACGAAGACTTTGAGGTGACCATCAGTAATTGATCATTATACTAACTTTTTTTTTTTCTTTTTTTTTTTTTTTTGGGAAATATCACGGCAGGAGATTCCTTGACATCTAGCACCCATGTGGTGAGAAAAATGATACAACTCCCTGCTCCATGTCAATTGTTAGTTGTTGTTCTTATTCATAGTATTTTCTTTGTAATGAACATGAAGTTTCGACTTCTATGTAAAGTTAAATAATGGTTCGGTTGCAAATTATACTATATTATGGTTAATTTGACAAGTGGTCGGATCTTGATATCAGCCTCGAATATTTTGCCTTGTTATTTTCTTTTTAGGTCTTTCTCTACTACTGTACTTTTCCATAATCAACCATTCCCAAGTGTGAAATGGAATTCATTTCCTTTCAAATTTTCGTCTAATCTATGTTTTTTGCATAATACCCCATCTAAACTTCGGAAAATATTAAAATCAGCATTACGTGTAATGTGCTCGTTCTAGCATTGTTTCAAACGTGAAGTAATTATTACATTACCTTGTTTCAGCAATATCCAAAACTGTGGGCCTCTGTTTTCGTTCAAGTTTCAGAATGATAAATGTTTTTATTTTTATTTTTTTTATTTTTGATGATTGTTCTGCACCTTAGTAAGATGCCAAACGACAATGTGCGACTCAATCGAACTAGGCAATACAAACTGACTTTCCGATCCAAGTAGATTAGATATAACTCTGAGTAATCTACTACTCAAACCTAGTTCAATCCATCGATTTCCAGTCCAACTGAGTGATTATAAAATGCTAGTTGGAATGTGAATTTCTAGCCATAGTTTGACATTTATTTGCCTCAAATTTTAGTTCTCTTATTAATCGGAGGGAACATAAGAACTATTTTGTCGAGTTCTTCAAATTGAGTTGTCCTGCATTTTTAATAATTCTCTACTACCCACCATTTGTTGCACATCAGGATAATAAGAAAAGAAGAGAAGAGAAGTCGACTCTTCAGGTAATCTGAATTATTTAACTCAAATATTTCAAAATGTTTACTCAAATAGAACATCATGTGCAATTTTCTTGGCCGGCAAAATCGACAGACATCTTCCAATTGTAAAAGGAGGAGGTTGCCAGCTTCATTTGAATATACAGGCTTTAAACCAAATTCATCTTTGCTCTTAGGGCAATATAGAATCAAATTTAAGGTACAGATCCTTCAATTTGATAGAATATGCTGTAGTTTCAAGTGAAGCTGTTGAAAATCAATAACCTTTAACATATGAAGAAGTCATTGATTGTTTTGAATCGTGTAAGACTGCAAGCCATGAGAGGAGAAATATATAGTTTAACAAAGAACTAGGAATTGGACACTTGTGAATAGACCTAAGAAAAGAATTGATTTTTTTCATTTTTTTTTTTTTTTAATCATGATTAATTTCTCATTTCTAAAATCTATGATAAGTTCACGAGTTGGGTTCGAGCAAAATACACGGACAATCTGAATCAGAACCGAATCACTAACCCGTGACATTGTTTAACCTTCACTTACTAACAAAAATTCAATAAACTATTTAATTAATAAAAAAATATGTTGAACACGTATTTTACCAACATATATAAAATTAGGATACATAAGGGAATTATAAATATCCCATCATCGGGAGGAAACCGTACCAGCATCTACAACTAACAAAAAGAATTCAAAGAATAAGAAAAAGCAATCCGAGTTGGGTGGGTGTAAAATGGGATTCAAGTTGCTAGCAATGGCAGTTTGACGGGGACAACAATGGTGATGGAAGAACAATGTTGGGTGCAAGTTGTTATTTTAAGAACATCTCAAATTGTGGTGTAAAGTGATTTAAATTGTGTTTAGATTTCTAAAGTCGTTGGAAACCTCTCCAATGCAGATATGCAAGGGAAATGTAAATTGTATTTTCAACATAAAATATCAAAACAGATTATAAACATACGCACATTCATGAGAAGCAAAAAGTAAATTTAATTATTCTCATTAGAACAAAATTTGAATTAGATGAGATGTAAATTAGGAATCGAAAGTGGTTTTGAAAATATCAATTTTCACCCAATACAGTGATTCTACTATTGGATTAAATTCCAAAGCCTTATCCCTTTGAGTTAGGCCTCAAAATACTCTAGCACATCACTTATAATGCCTCGACAATTCAAAACTAAGAAACAAGTTTTAAAAATTCAAGAACCACATATTATTAAAATTTATTATGAAATAATTAATTAAAATATATTTTATTAATTAAATATATTAAAGTAACAATTTTGTACAATTTGATCACAGATTATTGAAATAATTGGTCTCGAATTATTTCTCGATCACAAATCAAAAATTTTATAAGTCACAAATTAAAAATTTTATAGGGAGTCACAAATCAAAAATTTTATAAGTTACAATTTATTTATTCATCGAAAATCCATAAGTCACTGCTTATTTAATGATCGCAAATTATCAAATTGATTAGTCAAAACTTATTTCTCAATCTCAATTTAATAAATTATGATTCGCAATCACATTTTTTAGGTCACAATTAATCAATACTTATTCACAAACACTCCCACCCCATCCCACGCTAAAATTCTAATCAAGCAGTGCCCTCGGGGCATAACCTAGTGGTGCAAAAGATATGAGTGAGGTAGTTTCAACTTTGCTGGCAGTCGCAGTGTGAGGGTTCAATTCCTGAGATATGGAATCGAACTCTTTGTGGACACCAGTGTACAGACAAACTCTTATTCCTTGGCCTACTAGGGTATATCCCGTGATTTACATCCCTCACGATACTCTAGTAGCGGGGCAGTGGGGACCCTCAAGGTTGGGGTTCAACCTTTTCAATTCTAATCAAGCAGAACATAAGAGAACTCTTAAATTCCACCAATATTACTACCCCTTCGATATGCATCCATCACATCCATTTGGCCCTTAAAGAAAATGATCAAACTTAAAAGGGTAAAATATTAAAATACGGTCAAACTTAAAATCTGGGTCAACTAACAGAAAAATGGATGGAATCCATCCATTTGGCCCTTAACTGCTAAAGATTCAGGGTGACGATTGCAATGATTGAAAGATTGGAAAAAAAATATGCAAATTTTTGAAAGGTTTAGGGCCTCTTTTGCAATTATCCGATATAAATAACTATCATTTCATTACTAATAAATAAGTGTTTTATAATTGAATATAGTATATATGGCACAAAGGTCTTCAAATTTAATTTTGTGGTTATTCGATATTTTATAGAGTTTGAATATCCAAACATATGCTCATGCAAATTAATTCAACATTGATGTCAAGAGGGTGTTGAATATACCATTATTTATACCTTTCATCTATGAATTAAGCCATAGTGACAGAAAATGGGTGATAGAGACGGTGACCGCCTCTCACATGCCCGCGAGCCTTGCCTGAACTAAAAATTCAAAAAAAGTGAGCCCCCTATTTTGTGGTTCTCGATCAGGTTGTATCTCAACCTGTTTTTTGTCAATTTCGCATCTTCCTTCATCACCATGTACCTACCATTATTTTCAAGTCATTATTGATGGTGACAACTCTTTTCTTCCTTTCCGCACAACTTTCCTATTTTTATTCAAAAAGCAAAAGCAATAACTCTAGAATTTTAGAAGAGATAAAATGTAAGAAGTCGATTACACGGGAAAAAAGGACAAGTTATATTGGGTACAATAAGGTCACTTTTTTGAGTCAAAGTCAAGAATTAATTTTAACCATATATATGAGGATCAATAACTTTTTAATCGTACATTTTTCCAACATTTATAAAAATTTACTAAAAATTTGATTTTAATCACCATCAAACAGA